CTGTGCACAGTCAACAGTAAAGTACTAATGTTCGGTATTTTATTAATGTACTATCATCCAAAGCAGGGGCGGGGCTTAGGGGATCTCCGTAGTATCTGTACGTACCCTTCCCCCCCCCCCAGCTCCGAAATGTTTGGGATCATGAGCAATCCTACCAGACAGACAAGGAACCTGAGGATGAATGAACCACCACTTTCAAGAAAACCTACCTACCCACCGGAATCGGAAGCCCTGGCCTACGGAACACTTCCGCACTTACCAACTGGTCAACACCGCAGAGTTAATCTCAACCAGGCGGGACCGGAAGCCGGGGGCAAGGGCAAAGGAAACCCGCCCAATCACCACGTCCGGGTCCAGGTGACCAATGGGAGACGTTTGCCTGCGCCTGCGCCTGCGCAAAAGGTGGTGCCAGGGCATTTTTCGACCCTGCCCTACACAAACCGGCCGGCGTCCTTGGGCGAGTAGGTCAGGGTTTCTCCCAGACTTCTCTGGCTAAGCAACGGATCTTTATTTCAGAGATCGTTCATTTATTTTTTGAAACTCACAGAAAGAACTGAATTTGCCAATGCCTCTTAGCCACAGGCTTAGGACCACACTTCACACGTAAATTCCACGCTTTTCATAAATACAGCTAACCTCGATCCTCCCAGACGTTGATCACTGTAAGCTCCTGCTCGGCAGGTGGCTTTAGTTCTGCGCATTTAATATTTGTTGTGGTGTAGAGCCTGGCGGCTTTGGGAGTATGGCAGAATTTATGCCAGATTATAAAACTCCTAAAAGTTGTCTCTGAAAACGTCTTGGAAAGGCTAAGAAACATGTCTGTTGGGGGCCTTTAAAAGCCAGTGCTGTGCTGGGAGTAACGAGCAAAAATTTATTTTAGCACTTAGGTTTTAAGCTTCCTTGGAAAATTAAGGAGATTGGGATTCCAAAAGTGCTTGAAATAAAACAAGGAGGTTGGTGGAACTTGGGAAGAAATGGGGTAAGGTTACTCTTAATTAGGGTTTGGAGAGCTCTCCCTAGTATTAAAAGAAATGGTCAATGGCAGCAAAAGTATGTAAAATATGCATGCTATTATATAAAAGTTACTCTTTTAAACAAAAGTGTTTTACTCCAAACCGATAGGCCTGACTAGTTTCTCCATCTCTGCGTGTGCTTGATAGTGCCCAAGAGGAAGTGAATGTTCAGTTTAAAAGATTTTCGCGGTGACCATGCCGAAGTCCAGGTGAAGTTACTCAAGATCTAAAAAGCATTTGGCAACAAAGGGTGTCCTGTTGTTTATTAGGGAAACAAAGGGTCTCTATTGTTGAAAAGGAGACCTATTTAAAGTCTTTGCCTTTATAAAGCACAATAGGCATAATTAGATCACCAGTAATAAATCCACTAAAGTAAAAACGTCATTGAAACCCTACTACTATAGTTGGAAATTGAAACAAATTGGATGAGTTCTTGAAAATTAGCGGTATGAACACAACACAGTAGTTCTGGAAATCGGAAAGGCATCCTGGTCTAGACTTAGCTCGGCGCCTGTGGCTCAAGTGGCTAAGGCGCCAGCCACATATACCTAAGGTGGCGGGTTCGAATCCAGCCCGGCCTGCCAAACAACGACGGCTGCAACCAAAATAGCCAGGCGTTGTGGCGGGCGCCTGTGGTTCCAGGTACTTGGGAGGCAGGGGCAGGAGACTCACTTGAGCCCAGGAGTTGGAGGTTGCTGTGAGCCACAGCACTCTACCCAGGGGGACAGCTTGAGGCTCTGTCTCAAAAAAAAAAAAAAAAAGGTCTAGACTTGAGTATTCATTTGTATACATTAAATTGTTCTTCGCTAATAAGGCAAGGTCTCCATGGACCTCCCACCCCAGGTAACATTTTGAAAAGGAAAATTTTTCCTTCAACGTATCTTAAAGTTCAATTCGGACTAAACCCTGCCTCTTGCTGTCCCTTCCTCCCATTAGCCTGGGTTAGTGTGATTTTTCTGGGAAGCTTAGGAACTAAACCTACTAAGAAACTACTTACATTTTTTATTAACTCCTTAAGAGGTAAATTTAAAAGCACCTCAGAACACAAAGTTTAGGCATTGTTTCAAAGAATTTAGGTAAATCTGTTATTTTTCCAATGGCTGTATGTACTAGAAGAGACTAAAGAAAGGAAATTAGAGGGTGGTGCCTGTGGCTCAAGGAGTAGGGCACAGGCCCGGTGTACACCCGGGGTGGTGGGTTCAAACCCAGCCCCCATCAAAAAAAAAAAAAAGTAAATTAGGTAAGGCGAACCCTTGACATGAGCACTAGGATGGGGTGGGTTCAAACCCAGCCCCAGCTTAAAAAAAAAAAAAACTGCAAAAGAAAAAAAGGAAATTAGGTAAGGTGAACCCTTGACTTGAGCACTAGGATGGGGTGTCAGTTCTGGAATCTATTTTGCCCACTATGAACATCACAAGTGTGAGAGAAAGGAAGGTACATAATTAAGGATGTGCTGATGAGTATCTAGAAATGATACTCATTAAGAGTATCCTTAAGATTTCCCCAAAATTTGAAGAAATTTCCATAATTAAAATCTACTTCTTGGTTTCTGGGCTTTGTGTTTACAAATTGTATCAGGATCTTGTGCAAAGAAATCCAAAGCTGGTTAAATCTTGCTTATTCATTAGCCATATTCTAATATTAACATGTAGTCCTCACATTGTAGTCCTTAAGAATGAAGATTAAGAATTTCATAATTTGTGGGCGGTGCCTGTGGCTCAAGGAGTAGGGCACAAGCCCCATATGCTGGAGATGGCAGGTTCAAACCCAGCCCTAGCCAAAAAAAAAATTCCATAATGTTTTCTTGGGAGAAGGGGTGAGAGATAATCAGGGGCTACTGAATCAGAGAATATTGGTAAAATCCAAAGTAGCTGAATGGAGATTTGCATTTTGCATTCCCCAGCAAAATTTCGTACACCATCTCCCTTTTAACAAATTATACTTTTGCTGCCCTTTATCTTCACGAGTTAAGTGACTTGGGAAGCTTTCCTCCCCGAAGAAAGCAACTAAGTTTCTTCAAATTTCCCATAAACACCTCTAAAAGTCTGTTGTCAATAGTTTCAAGGTGTGTTTCCCTTGCCCCTCAGAAAAATTTGCAAATATTCTAAATAGAAACATTGCCACAAATAGGGCAATTGTTCTTGATATGTTGTAGGACTTACGCATGCTCTGAGTGTGATTCCTACATTAATCAGTTTCTTGACTAACTTAAGACTTGGATCATTATGAAAGTTTTGAGATACACAAAAATTCAAAACATAATCCATGTGGACAGAAACAAATGAAACCCTCCCAACAAATAAGCCAAGCAAGTTGAAACTTGCACAAGTGATCAGAAAAGATGCTGTCAACTGTTTCTTGGAAATAAAATAATAAACCACAAGCCAGTCTGTCTCAAAGCTTTTGTGGTGACCTATGTAGCAACTCTTTGACTACTAAATACAGTACTCAAAATCAAACATGAATAAAATTACATACCCAGTTGCTTTAAGACTAGCAGCAAGTATAAGAAAATCTAGCTGAGCTAAACAAGGGGTGCTGTATAACATCGTCCAAGCTGGGACATTTTTAAAAGCGAAAAGGGGAATAAAATAACTAACAGGTATTAATTCATCTACAAATATAAAATGGGACTGTCATCAGCAAAACAATAGTCACTGCTGACTTCTCAAGAAGATCTCAAAAATGATTCTTGGGCTCAGCGTCTGTGGCTCAAGCAGCTAAGGTGCCAGCCACATACATCTAACCTGGTGGGTTCGAATCCAGTCCGAGCCTGTCAAACAACAATGACGGCTGCAACCAAAAAATAGCCGGGCGTTGTGGTGGATGCCTATAGTCCCAGCTACTTGGGAGGGGGAGGCAGGATACTTGCTTGAGCCCAGGAGTTGGAGGTTGCTGTGAGCTGTGATGCCATGGCACTTCACCCACGGCAATAGCTTGAGGCTCTGTCTCAAAAAAAAAAAAAAAAATGATTCTTGGAAAATCTCATTCTCTACAAGTTTATACTCCAGCCTGCCTCTCTCTCTCTCTCACTCTTCTGTTCTCTCCCCACCACTATAGTTTTTGCCCATCACTTTATCTTAATAATGGCGGCTTATGCTTATAGTACATAAAGCAGTGATCCATATTATGGAACCCCACTGGATTCCGCTGGCTTCCTCCAGTTAAGTGAATATGGATAAAGAAATTTAAAGAGAATTTTATTTTTTACGAAGACAATTCACGATCACAGAAATGACCATATAGAGATTTAAAACTGGAGAAAACAATGACTTTTTCAAACTGCAAATGAAACAGGGGCAATAATCATTAGAGCTAGCTTTAATAAACCTGTAAACCCAGCAATTTTATAATATACATTAAAAATGTAGTTTACCAGAGACTAAGGTGATATATATATTTATTTTATTTTTGGAGACACAGGGTAATTTTTTTGGCCCTCAGCAGAGTGCTGTGGCATCATAGCTCATAGCAACCTCAAACTCTTGGGCTCAATCGATTCTCTTGCCTCAGCCTTCCACAGAGCTTGGGACTACAGGTGCCCACCACAGCGCCTGGCCATGACAGGTCTTACTTTGGCTTAGGCTAGTCTTGAACTTGTGAGCTCAGGCAATCCACCCACCTTGGCCTCCCAGAGTGCTAGGATTACAGGTGTAAAAGTTTTTTTGTTTTCAGAAAAAAAATACCTGGTCAGTAGAATCCTTTTGGAAAAAAGAAAAAAGCAGTCACAGAATGAAGAAATACACCACCTTTCTGTTTCTACTCATCTGTGACTTATGAGGAATGGATTAAAAAATGTTCTCATGAGGTATATACTATTTAATAACCTAAGGTAACCATCAGCTTCCACATCAGTTGGTGACAATTTTTTTTCTTAATATGCCAAAATAGACTGATGAGTTATATTTTTGGCATATATAAACACATGAGGTTAATTATGTATTAATTAACCTGTGGAATACACCCATCAGCTTTTCTCATGGGTTTTGTTTTCAAATACCAGACCTCTGCTATGACAATGTTTTTGTAAACTTCAGGTCAAATTGTATCTCTTTAAAGGTAACTGCATATGAAACATTTAGATATTGAGACACTTGCTTTAAGAGTTGTTAATCCTTGTTTCAAGTAATAGCAGAGAATTGAATTCAATTCTTAATCAAGTACCCTTTACTAATATCATATAGATCAGTGGTTCTCAACCTTCCTAATGCCATGAACTTTGAATACAGTTCCTGTGGGTTGCGATCCACAGCTTGAGAACTGCTGAAATAGATGCTTATCGCTTCATTTATTATTTATTGAAGGTCTACTTATGTGCAAGGCACTCATCCATGGCCTGACCACTACATTCAAGTACAAAGACTCAATAACAGAACCAGTCCAGATCAAAGTGTCAACACTTTGAAAAAGTACATAGTCAGAATTACTTGAGGTAAGCAGAAAACACTCAACAACCAATATAATTAAAAGGTGATCTTGTGCTCACTTCGGTATACTAAAGTATACTATTCATATACTAAAAGATGATCTTAATTTTTGAATGTCCTTTCAACTATACGTCTTTATAAAGTAGACTTTTAAATTCACAACCCATTGCCCTGCTTTCTAAAGCAGTAATTTCTTCCTTCCAAAGCCTTTCCTTCTCTAATTCAATACCTTCTACTTTTATATTTGAAGAGAAATACATGTCTTAAGTTTAGCCATTATGAAATGAAATTCGAAAGCCATCATTTGCTTATTACTTTTTTAAACTCAGTTGTTGTACTTACCTGAATTTTGGCACCAAAGAAAAAGGTGTTCGGACTGAGAAGACCTACACTCCAGACTATGTAACCTAAAAGCAACTTATGCCTAACTTAGTCATTTTAGGGGTGCTGAAGAGGAAAATTCAGGAAGAATGATCCAAAAAGGGCTGACCAAACTGTGGCTGCTAAAATTTAGTTCTGGTAGTAACTGAACAGAATTACTACTGCCTCAACACTGCTTTCTTCAAGACAGAATTTGCAGGTTTTTCTGCTCCCTTGGACAGCCAGTATCTAAGGATTGTGACCTCGGGGCAAAGTAATTTCTTGTGTCTGGACTTTGTCATCTGTAATGCAGTAATAATTGTCTACCTCAAAGAGCAGTTAGAGGATTAAGTGAGAAAAAGGGAAAGTCCTTGGCCAGGTACCTGGCATACAACAGACTAAGACAAAATTGCTTTTGTGCGACCTATAGGAACATACTGGGACTTTTGTTCACTTCCAGCTGAAAACAAAACTTCACATAACCATAATTCTTTCTTCTTACTCCAAGCTTCTAGATGCATTTACTGTCCAATGGCAATTTTGTATTTTTAATTAGTATAAAAATATTTGCTTTATCACACTTTTTTTTTTAGAGACAGAGTCTCATTTTGTCACCCTAGGCAGGTTGCCTTAGTGTCACAGCTCACAGGAACCTCAAACTTTTGGACTTAAGTGATTGTCTTGCCTCAGCCTCCCAAGTAGCTGGAACTACAGGCACCCACCACAAGGAACAGCTATTTTTAGAGATGAGGCCTTGCTCTGGCTCATGCTGCTCTTGAACTTGTGAGCTCAAGCAATCCACTGGCCTTGGCCTCCCAGAGTGCTGGGATTACAGGTGTGAATCACAGTGCCTGGCCATTATCACACTTTTCTGATGCCTGATATCCATTTTTATAATCTGTCCTTTTGTGACAATAAAGCATGTTATAGAATTTTTTTTTTTCAAGACATGGTCTCAACACTTGCCACCCAAGCTCCCTGGAGTGCTGGCACAATCATTGCTCACTGGAGCCTTGAACTGCTGCATTAGCAATCCTCCCACCTCAGCCTCTTTAGTAGGTAGGACTACAGGCAAACACCACCACATCCAGTTAATTTATTTTTGTACACATGGGGTCTCACTATGTTGCCAAGAGTGGTCAAATTCCTGGCATTGGGAATACAGGCGTGAGCCACCACACCTGGCTGGAATGTTCTTTATGTTACCTCTAACTTATTCTACCAGTTATATATGGCTTCAATTACTTTAGCATTTTTCTAAAAATTACTTTAACATTTTATGATTAAGACAACATAGCCACAAGTATTTCCCAATTGGGCAGATACGTATTTAACTTGCTTGCCTCACAATAGAAAGAAATGGTCCTGTTAATTGGGGATGGCCAAAAATTCTGATTTGAGACTTCCACATATAAGCATACTTATCTCTGCAAATGAGCAAATTTTGCAATGTAGAAGGTAGTATATGTATGTTGAAATCAAACAATGCCCCTTTCCAAACGTAGATCTCTTTTCTTTACTGAACATTATCCTTACATACCACAATTTCCAATATACATAAAAAGCCCTAACCCCTAAAAGTTACAATGAACTTGCCTATTTATACAAAAAAAAAAAAAAAAAAAATTCCCAAAAATGAAAGAAAAAACTTCTGGATTCGAAAACCTTTTCATAATTGAATCCCAAGTTGGGGGGAGGGGGTTAAATGGCTGAAATGTTTATTTAGCACTAAAGAAGTAAATTCAAAGTTGCCTGTGGGTGGCCATGTATAATAGACGATTTAGTTGACAAAGTTTGATTTATAAAATATACTTACGTATTTTTTCTTAGGCAAAATCAGCAGCAACCTGGAATTCATATTTATATGGGATATTGCCAATGTTTTTCTCTTTGACAGTACTGCTAAAAATAACCCAGAGTCCGATCAACTTTATCTGGCATATGGAAGAAACAATACAAGGGCAAGAGGATTCTCAAAAGCAGTATAACTGACAAAGGTAAAGAGTTTAAAAAGGTCTTGATTAGCTGATGACCAGAACATGAACATCTTCCACAGAGAACTCAGTCTCCTAAATCTCTCCTTTCTTAACATCAATCACCTTTACCTTCCCTGATTTCTCAATCCAGCCATATCTACTTCTGGTCCTTTAGAAACCAGGTGTTTTTATATCCCAGATTCTCTCAATGCTCCCCCCACCCCCACCAAAGTTCTCATGACAAAGAATACACTTTGAATGTTTGGAGGAAGAAAAAAAAAAAAAAAAAACAAAGACAAGGACACAGAAAAACAAGTTATTTTTCCCCCCATAAGTAAATAAAACTGCAAACGACTCTTTCCTGTGTTGAAATCAACATGCTTTTGTAATGAGCAACACCTTAGTGACAGGGCATTCGATAAATTTAGTAAATTAATGGACTACCAGACAGAGAACTAAAAATAGGAATTAGGTACCCCTTAAAATGTCATTTCTACTACCAAAAAGGCTGTTTTATCAGTACCAAGTTCCAATACATCTGAGTTATGCTGAGATTTAACTTTTAGTCAATTCAATTTCTGTACTTTAAAACAAAAAATCCAGTTCATATTTTGTAATTTATGAACTTTTAGGATAGGAAGATAAATTCCTCTGTTTTAGAAAGAAAGTAGATCACATCAGTTAAATGAACTTTAATTCATTCATTGAAACACCTGTAACTAGCAGCAAAAATTCCCAATGTACACTGCTTTTACTAACATGGGGAGTTGATTTTGTGTGCTTTTATTTTTTCCATTCAAGTTAGTTTGTAAAATTTTTAAACCATCTAATAGAAGGTATATAATTTAAAACATCCTATAGAAATGACATATTACCAGTAATTCACAATTAAAAAAAAAACTCAGCCACAAAAAGAAGTCAAAGCTAAAACCAAGATTTTTACTATGAATCAGTGCTTCTATTACCCTTCTGAAAGAAGTTATATTTTAATGTGATGTAAAGGCAACAATGAAAGTTCTTCTTTAAATTAACCACCTAATTTATCCCTAAAATTACAAAGAATCAAAGTCTTTTACAGATCAAGTGCAGTAAACTAAAATGTTCTCTCAGCACAAAGCAGCACTAGAAAAAGTAACAGTTATAGATGGGAGTTGACTAGTTTTGCAGTGGCTGCTCCATCAATAAAAACAGACATCAGACGGTATCCATCCCAGAGCACAGACACAACTACAGGCTAGATGTGAAGAATGCGTCACACTCTTGGCTGATAAATGTCCTTTGTCTTTGACTCTTTCTAGTTTGAATGAAGTGGATTTTTTAAAAGTTTAAATCAGGTCATGTAAGTTGGCTGCTTTAAGTAACATCATGATGAGGTATGAAAGCTCTGAATATCCCTTAAATTCAGCAGGATTTACCAGAGATGTACATATAATAGCTTGTCAGGGGCAACTTCCAAATAGTTTTTACACTTTGGGGTTATACTGAATTCTAGAAGAGGACAAGTCTAAATAGATTTTAAAGGGTATGCTCTGAAACAGAAGTGAGCAACTTTTCCTTCAGAATTCATTTTAAACAGCACATCAACAAAAAAATCTTCTGATAGTATATTCCAACATTGAGTCATGATGGCCAACTAGCACCGAGAAGTCATATTGAACTCATTTGCAGTTCTCTTGGCAATTAAGCATATTTTTTCATTACAGTCCAAGCACAAGTGTAGATCACTGAACACAGTACTGGAAGAGCCATTTGCAGGTACAGATTGCAGTCATCATTAAATGAGCCAGAAGGTGGATATTATTTTTATTGGGGAGGGGGGTAAGGGGTGTGCAGTACTAGGAGATGAAATAAAATGATTTGGAAACAATGAGGTTATTAGAAAAGTTCACTGTCCTTATTTGGGTTAAGCAGGTCATGTTGCAAAGATGTTTTTTTTTTTTTTTTAAAATAAAAGGATGCTACATTAAAAGGAATCATATGTGCAGCATGAATACATTAGAATCTAGCTGCACTTGACTTAAGAAAAAAATCCCTAAGTAACTTATAAAAGTATGTGTTATGTGCTAGTCACAGAAGGGAAAAGCACCTAGGGTGAACTTAAATTTAATGAGGACCTTGATCAGGACCACAAAGCCTGAAACATTTATTTTAATGCAGAAACACAGCCTCTAGTCAACCGGTTTTGAGTTTAGGAAAACTGGAGGGTGGTTTTTTTGTTTTTCTTAGTTTTTATGGAATTATAGGATATGGTTTTAATTACTGAAGATTCTAAATCTTTATGCCAGCATTAGGACTAAACCACTTCCAAATCTGAAGACACATAAGACCAAAAAGATGCAAAAGCCATACAAATTAATATGTGCCCCTTTCCTTTCTGCTCTAAGGGAATCTGCAAACCAGTATCACATTTAAGAGTCAAAGTGTTAATTCTTCAGCATTTCTGACAACTAGAAAGCACATTCACTGAAGGCTGAAGGTGAGGGAGTGGATGGTTTAACTTTAATATCTGAAGAATGGCGCCAATAGAGGAAAAGAAACCATCCAATCTCAGTAAGTATTAATGCAAACTTGGCTAGAAAAAGCCATCAGGTAATCCAAGGGTTCACTGTGGAAGAACTCATGAAAAGTACTCTGAAGTATACACAACAGGTCTAAACATCTCCCTTGTCGTAAGTAGTTGTGTGAAATTCAAGATAAAAGTTTATTCTCATCTTTTAATGTCAGTTTTTCCCATGTTAAAGGGAACAAGGAGGAGTCCTCTTTTTCCCCCATAAAAAAGGGAGCCACATTAATATGTGTATATTCCCATGACTCTAACATAGGTGCGGATCTCCAAAGCCTAGGGATTTTTTCCATAACAGAGTGGGCCGTTCTGGTTACCCTTGTTATTAGAAGGGTATTCCACCACAGAGAGCCAGAGGTTTTCCAGATGTGTGTAAGAGAGCAGGTGCGCAAGGCAAGCAAATGAGCGCAAACAGTATTATGGAAAACATTTGAGAAGTTAGCTCCATGAGGACTGTGGGCTCCACAAGAGGACTTGACGGGGTAGCCTGGTCTGACACAGGAACGTGAAAGCAGAGTATTGCTTCAAAGCTGGAAACCTTCCATAGGAGCCTCACACTGCTGGAAGATGTACTGCTGCTGGCTAAGGTCAACCTGGGGCGCAATGCTGCTATCCTCATCTTCAGTCCCGAAGTAGTGCTCAATAAGGTCAAAGGCCTTCTGGTAGATCTCCTGGTTTTCATGACTCTGTAAGAACTCAATTTTATCCAGACCTAAAATGAATAAAGGAAAATCTTTATTGTAATGTCTAATATTTGCTGCAAATTCTGATAAAACTATATTTTGCCATATGTGTCCTTAATTGATATAAAGGAAGATTATCTATTTGAATCTCATAAGTATTTTAAAAATGATTGCTGGGATTACACCTGAAATTAATATACTATTAAATTCACATGCAAGCAACATCTAGTGTGCAGATGGAGCAATTTCCTTAATAATAACCATTTCATCCAGTGCCTAGTAATAATATTAGTGCTTTTATTGGACTCTATGGCCTAACTGATTTTGGACCATATGCTTCCTTAGTCATTGCATCTTACCATAAGCTTCTTCAATCAAAGCACAGTAAGGGTTAATGCCATTGCCATTCCTTTTGGCTTCTTGTTCTCCAAGTCTCAGGATATTTTCTAAGCCATTCAGGGCAACTTGTACAATCTTAGAGTCCATGACCGTGAGGAGATCACAGAGTGGCTTGATACAACCCAGTTCTACTAGGTACCTAAATTAATACAAAGAAAATTTAGTCAAACAAAATATTTAAACCTTGTAGAACTTTAATGAAATAGGTGAGTCATCCTCAAACTTACTGCAGATAAAAAAAAGGCTCTCATCCAACCATACAAGCTATACCTTATCATAAAAAGCCTATAAATAAATTATCCCCAAACCTGATCTCAGGCACCCTTCTCCATTCTTTTTAAATCCAATTATGGACTCCAAAAAATGGAATACTCTCTGAATTTGAATATAAGCAGCTCATCTAAACAGAACAGGTTTGACTGATTAATTTCCACCTTATTTCCATAGGTAATGACATCTCTGAAACATGACACGCTTGGTGCTAAAAGCTAGTTTCTTTACAAAACTAAACATCTTTCCATATGACCCAGCAATCAGTTGGACATCTACTCAAATGAAAACTTATGCCCACATAAAAACCTTAACAGAAATGTTTACAGCAGCTTTATTCACAATTGCCAAAAACTATTAATAACCAAGATTTTCTTCAGGAGATGAATGGATAAACTGTGGTACACCTATATTATGAAATGTTATGCAGTGCTAAAAAAGAAATGAGCTATCAAGCCATGAGTAAACACAGAGGATAACCTTAAATGCATTATTACTAAGTGAAAGAACTCCATCTGAAAAAGCTACACAATACATGAATCCAACTATGTGATATTCTGAAAAATGCAGAACTAGACAAAAAATAAAAAGAATAATGACTGCCAAGGATTCTAAGGGTTGAACAAAGACGTGGGGATGGTAAGTGAAGTAGAAAGTAATTTTAGGGCAGGAGAACACTATTCTGTACATACTGCAATGGTGGACATACAACATTGTAACTGTATGAAGAGTGAACTATTTGTTTCTTGGAGACAGAGTCTCACTTTGTTACCCTTGGTAGAGTGCTGTGACATCACAACTCACAGCAACCTCAAACTCTTGGGTTCAAGCGATTCTCTTGCCTCAGCCTCCCCAGTAGCTGGGACTATAGGCGCCTACCACAACACCTGGCTATTTTTAAAGAAGAGGTCTCGCTCTGGCTCAGGCTGGTCTCGAACCTGTGAGGTAAGGCAATCCACCCTCCTCGGCGTCCCACAGTGCGAGGATTACAGGCGTGAGCCACCACACCTGACAAGAGTCTGTACTTTTCAAGATTAGAAGCAATTTAAAGTGATATTTTCTTTTCTTTTCTAGAGACAGTCTCACTATATTAAAACTAGGATAAGGGCTATTCTTCGTTTTTTTTTTGTTGTTGTTTTTTTTGAGATAGACTCTCACTATGTTGCCATCAGTAGAGTGCAGTGGCATCATAGCTCCCAGCAACCTCAAACTCTTGGGCTTAAGTGATTCTCTTGCCTCAGCTTCCCAAGTAGCTGGGACTATAGGCGCCCACCACAATGCATAGCTATTTTTTTGTTGCAATTGTCATTGTTGTTTAGTAGGCCTGGGTTCAAACCCACCTGCCTTGGTCTATGTGGCCAGTGCCCTAACCACTGAGCTATGGGCCAAGCCTAAGATGGTATTTTCTGATGCAACCTCTCATTTTTGGAGAATTAAGGCATTATTATATTAAGAGGAAAAAAGGACTATGTTCTCAGGCTTAAGTTTGAAGACTTGAAAAGATGTCTGAGAAGCATCACAAAAAATAAGTACAATTCTATAGTTAACAACTGGGAATGGTTCCTGTGGGTGACATAGTTAAAACATCTAGATAAAATGAATACTGGTCATCAAAGTCAACTGACTTTTGTGGTAGAATAAACTATAAAAGTACCACCAAGGTTTTTTCTGAGTAAGGATATTTAGTACACAATACATTATCTAGAAAACTGAGTTATTTTCTAAAATTTCATTAGTGCTGCAAATCTGAGTGATCACATGGGTAATTTTACATTTAAGAGTTCCTTTACGGAGCAGAAATCTATGATGAAGAAATCTAGGTTCAGGACAGAGAAAAGTTGAGTTTTAAAAGACTGAATGGTAAAGTCAGGTTTCTCCAGGTAGTAACAAATTCACTGTGATCTAAAACCACTGCCTTTAAACAGGATTTACTCCTCCACATCCTGTTATCAGCACCACCATTTTCCAGCCATCTTTTGACTTCCCTTTCCTTTGTTTCCCTATACCTTTCCACAAATCCTACAGACCCTTCTTTCCCATATCCAGACCCGCTATCATCTTAACCCTGGCTATCATTATACTCTGTACTACTGTAATGGCATCTTACTTGCTCTCATTCTTCTCAAAACAATACATTTCGCATGTCACTCTTGAGGTCAGACACTCCAAGTTTTCCCAACACCCAAGACTAAGTAAGGCCTTTATCCTAGTATTGAAAGTCCACCAATCACTTAAATCCTCATCCTTGTGAAAGAATTACCTATAGCAAGATTGATCTCCTCTAAAAACATTTACTGTGCATTCTCTCACACTTTTCCTCACGCTATTCTCACTCCTTCAAAATTGCCAAATCTCTATCTAAATAGTAACTTTCTCTCTTTCATACATCTTTAACTCCAGTCAACATTCCTTATGCCTCTTAAAAACATAGTATGTATTCACAATTATATTCAGCCCTGAATTACTGGTATTTCCTAAATTATTCTAACTGATTCTTGCATCCAAATCTTGTATCTTCAACAAGAATGAGCAGAAGCCAAGTAGGTACCTCTGTCCATAACATCAGTTTTTTTCCTATAATTTGGAGTTTCAGGATTTTTGTGATGATCTTTCAAGATAACATTTCATATATATGTTAAGAAAAAATTGCTAGGAGATTGATAATTAACTTCATTATTATAAATAGCTATGCTAAATTTTTTTTTTTTTTTTTTTTTGACAGAGCCTCAAGCTGTCCCCCTGGGTAGAGTGCCGTGGCATTACAGCTACAGCAACCTCCAACTCCTGGGCTCAAGCGAGTCTCCTGCCTCCGCCTCCCAAGTAGCTGGGACCACAGGCGCCCGCCACAACGCCCAGCTATTTTTTGGTTGCAGCCATCATTGTTGTTTGGCGGGTCCAGGCTGGGGATTCGAACCCGCCACCTTAGGTGTACGTGGCTGGCGCCTTAGCGGTTGAGCTATAGGCGCCGAGCCAGCTATGCTAAATTTTAAAAAGGAACAGTCGTGATTCCCTTCTTCTCTAACTGAGCAAAACACTCCTAAATACTTTCAAATGAAATATGACACAATATTTTAGAAATGTTTTTAAAACATATATGTTTATGGTTTAATTATTTCAATTAAGAAAAGATATTTGGTATAGAGACAATTAATGATTATAAATGTGAATCTGAACATAGTTTATTCAAATAACTATTCTACAGTACTTGATATATATTGCTCTCTGGTGACAGCATACTTAAAAACACAGTACCCTGGAACCAGAATCTTAGAAGTTAAAAAAATTATAAAAGACAAATGTACTTCTGAAGTCCACCTGAAGTCTTTCTCGAATAACCTGTCCATTATGACATTTATTGAACTTGCTATTGCCTACATTAATCTGTTTGCAGTGTTAATATTTCAGGTAAGTATTTTTCTTTTCCTCTTACCTACTTTTGCAATTTATTAGTACTATTCTTATTTTTTAATTCTAAACAGAGCACTCAAAATTATCATTTGTTGAATGCCTACATATAATCCATAAAGAAGCAATGTAAGTACTTATGGGTGTCTGATGACATATGAGGAAGGGGTTAATGCTCTAACACTCATTTGAAACCATTTTCCCCTTATTTGGATTTAGTTAGCATTTAATTATATGATAATTTCATATTTATACTTTCTCTGCCCATAAAGATTATAAACTGTTACCAAGGAGTAACAATTTATAGAGACTTACCACATAAGTCTCTTCCTTTACTGAATACCATAATACTTTTCAAGATAATTGCCTCTATTGAATTTGGCAATTTATTCTAAGACATACTTCTCTTTCAAGTCTGGTCTAATTCTTATTATTAAGATATTTCTGACCAAGCAGCTCTAGAGTAAGTTGAAGTCACCTATCTTTCTGTTGCCTCAAACCTCAACTCTGCCTTTTTATTTCCTTTTTTTTCTTTTGAGACAGAGTCTCCCTTTGTCACCCAGGGTAGAGTGCCATGGCATCATCATAGCTCACAGCAACCTCAAACTTTTAGACTCAAGAGATCCTCTTGCCTCCAGAGTAGCTGGGACTCCAGAAGCCCGCCACCACTCCCAGCTAATTTTTAGACACAGGGTCTTGCTCTTGCTTAGGCTGGTCTCGAACTCCTGAGCTCACACAATTTCAGCCTTGGACTCCCAAAGTGCTAGGATTACAGCCACCACGCCCAGTGTATGCCTTTTTATTTTTAACAAAAAAAAAAAAAAAAAAAAAAACCTGTGATATAAGGAATCAAATACACATTTGAATCTAATCATGACACTGAGAACAATCTTCCAAATTTAATTAAGCATTTTTACTTAAGATCATCTCTCATTCACTTCACTCCTCAAAAATACATAATCTTTTACTCTTCGGTAATATGGGAAAATTTATAAAATGACAGTCACAACAGTAATTTTTCCTTTAATTTACAAGATGCTTACCAACTGGCTAGTACTTACTTGATTTGTTCAGCTGATCCTCCAGAAGTTGCATTTGTGATGGCCCAGGCTGCTTCTTTTCTTGTCCGAAACTCAGCAGTTTGTAATATACTAATGAGGGCTGGAAAAATATTGGCATCTATCACAGTCTGAAATTAAAGAAAAATTTAAGTGGGGAAAACATTTTTAATGGAAAGGGAAATAAAAAGATTTGTAAAAATGTTCATGATATTAACTGTAACTGTTAAGATAGCTTCACTATTGACATCCCTTCCCCTATTAAAAATGAATTAGAGAGTCAAGTCGTCATCACCCCTAATGTTCAGGCTATACTTGGTATTACTGATAATACCTATCCTGAAGTTTGTGATCTTGTACCTACTAGTTTTCTGAGTTCTCTTCTATTTTCTTATCCTCTCTTGTTCTACCCACAGTTAACAAATTATAAAAATTCAATTTTCTGTTCTCTTGCTACTCTCGTTTCTCTCATAACATGTGATCTTACAAATGTACTGAAACTCTCCAGTCCTCACTTCTCAGTGAAACTTTAGCCCAATAACTGGCAGTTTACTTTATGTCCGCTAGTCACCTCGAACAGATCATCTTTACTTTATATCAGGTCTCTTTTTATAGTTCTCTAGTTCACAAAGGCTACTAGTTTATTTATTCATTTCTTTTTTTTTTTTATTTATTCATTTCTAAGTTCAATCAGCTACCAAGTGTCCTTACCATTCTCAATTTAGAATGTCCTGGTCCATCTTTTACTTTCCCTTAGCACTGCAGCCATCCTATTCCAAAGCCACCAACTCTCAACCAGATTAACAGCCATACAGTTGGATGAAATACTTTTACTTAATTCAGCTCACATATTAACACTAAAATTGTCTTCCAAAAAATTACTATCTTCATGTTTCTCTTTAGCTCAAGAACCTTAAATGGGTTCGTATCATTTTCTGCATCAAGAAACTGAGAATTTCTTGGGACTGCAAACTAATGCAGCCTTCTTGGAAAGAAACATGGAGACTCCTCAAAGAACTCAAAATAGACCTTCCATTTGATCCAATAATCTTATTACTAGGCATCTACCCAGAAGAAAAAATCATTTAATTAAAAAGGACATGTGCACTAGGCACAAATAGATCTTCCATTTGATCCAATAATCTCATTACTAGGCATCTACCCAGAAGAAAAAATCATTTAATTAATAAGGACATGTGCACTACGCACAAATAGATCTTCCATTTGATCCAATAATCTCATTACTAGGCATCTACCCAGAAGAAAAAATCATTTTATTAATAAGGACATGTGCATTGTTTATTGTAGCTCAATTTACAATCACCAGGATGTGGAAACAACCTAAATGCTCACCAATCCAGGAATCAATTAATAAACTATGGTATATGTACACCATGGAATACTATTCAGTCATTAAAAAGATGGGGTCTTTTATCTTTTGCATTAACCTTAGTGGAGCTGAACCACATTCTTCTTCATAAAACACCACAAGAATAGAAAAGCAAGTATCCAATGTGTCGATACTAGTATGAAGCCAGTAGAAGATCTAATACATGCCCCTGTAAGAGAAAAACTCAATCCAAGTAGGGGGAGAGAGGAGGAGAGAAGCATGGGTGTGCTCTCACTTAATGGGCACAATGCACAATGTAAGGGTGTATGGGCACACCTCTTGGGTACAGGATACAACTACAAAAGGGACTCTACCTAATAAAGGCAAATATTGTAAGCTAATTGTACCCTCACGTTTATCTCAAATAAAAAGAAAAAAGAAAGAAACTGAGAATTTCTGCATAAAATCCTGGTGGCTATAGGAAATCAACTATAGATGAAATCATCTAGTACACATGCTACAAATTGGTATAGCTATCAATCTCAGTCCCTAATTCAGCATTCTAGAAGCAATTAACTATGCTTTCTGGGCCAAGAATTCCTTCTATTATACCAGTGTAGGAATCAGCAAAGTTTAGTAGAAAGACACCTAATCCTGCTCCTGTCATTTCCTAGAGGTGTCCTTAAGTAAATCATTTTATTTCTTTAAGATAGTTTCATCTTTCTTTTTAATATTTTTATTAACAAATACTAACTATATATATTTATGGGATACAATGCAAAGCTTCAATGTATATGTTCATTGTGGTATGATGATGTTTCCACTCATCTCCAAGTCCCCTGAGTCTGTGTTCTATTTTTACTTATCCCTTATTTAGCCTTGACCACGGCTCATGATAAACCTGTTGGTCTACTGTTTATTTTCCACTTGAATTACTCTCTTATTGATAGAAAGGCAAAAGTAAAGGGCAGATAACCATTAAAAGAAAAAGATATCCAAACATTCATGAAAAACTAAAGCAATCTACTTCATGGGTCCACTGGATGGACAATGAATATTTTACTCGCTGAGAGTAAAGCTAATCTAATCATATTTAGCATGAAGTTCATCACAACATTTTGGAAATACAAGACTATTTCTTGAAACTTGGCAAATAATAAAGGCTATGGAGAAAACCAAGACCCACGTGTAAATTTCAAAAGACTAAAACCTATAAGCTAGGATAAAGAATCAGACTACAAGATATGACAACAATCTTGGAAGTTATTGCTCTTCATAGCAAAAATGAAAATAACACATATTTTAAGGGTTACTACTTAAAAGAAAGGTAGGTCCCCTGAGATTACCTGGATCTGTGCCCTATTTCCAGCTGTTATATTAGATATTGTCCAACATGCTTCCTTTTTGATAGATTCCTTTGGGCTACTCAGCAAATGCAATAAACTCTGTAGAGCTGAACAATTCAAAATTACCTAAAAGAAAAAGTTTGACATTTGACATTTTTACATGTGTTGTTCCAAATAAATCTTTAACTCAATAATTCATTTTAGGAAAAACATAGGCAAAAAAATAACAGTATCTCCCCTTGAAACTTTGGAAATAAGTAATTTTATTATATAGGTTAAAAAGAAGTATTCACTGCTAATAAGAATTAGTTTCTAAGATTACCAAAGCAGTTTCATTGTATACAATCACAACTGCTAAAACCACACTTAATAAGACACAACAACATTTGTATTAGTAATTTAAAAAGGATTACTCATTCACCTTCCTATCCCTATAGAGTAACTCCTCTTAATGGGTAAATATATCGAGTAGTCAGAAAGATCAGAAGTTGTCTTCCAGTTTTTAAATCTTCTGATAATTCTTTACCACTGGTAGTCAATGAATTAATACATACTTACTAACAAAGTAGTTTGAAGTCTATCAGGTGCTTTATAGGATACAAAGATAAAAAAGATATGACCCCACCTACATTAAATAGCTTACAAAGGTGAAGGATATTCTAACAGAAACCAAAATCACAACGTTTCAATGATTAAAATACTATGTAGCAGGCTCAAAACTCAATCAATCACTGAAAAACAGAATAGATATCTAGTTCAGAAACAAATATAGATGTTTAGGAAGAATTAAGTATGTAATAAAAGTTAATCCTTTCTTTCCTCCAATGACTGGTGGTTTTATTTAACAGAGTAAGAGGCTAAATAGTTGAAAATCATTTTTTCAAAATCAATTCTTTTTTTTTTTTTTTCCAGTTTTTGGCCAGGGCTGGGTTTGAACCTGCCACTTCTGGCATATGGGGCCAGGGCCCTACTCCTTTGAGCCACAGGCGCCGCTCTCAAAATCAATTCTTAATCCTAACAGTTATCAAAATAAATTAGTAACCAAGTATTTTTAAAATTATGAAGTAAAAAAAGAAAAAAAATTCACCAAATCATTTTTCCTATCAAAAATCATTAAGAAATTTAAAATGCATACTATACAATATAAAAAATTATTTACAGCAAATAAGTGGAATCCTACCTTTATTTTGTCAATTGAAAAGAGAAACGAATATATATATATTTTTGGCCGGGGCTGGCTTTGAACCTGCCACCTTTGGCATATGGGGCTGGCACCCTACTGCTTGAGCCATAGGTGCCGCCCAACAAAACTAATATTTTAATAGAAAGTACCTCACAAGTAATTGAAAGAAATGCAAATTGAAACGAAGCCATTTTTGGTTATTATATACAGCTCAAAAAATAAAACCTGCAGTAAAACAGGTATGATCTTTCTAAAAACAATTTGATCATACGCATCAAGACATAACAATAAATGTTAGATAAAATATATGTGAACAAGAAAATACAGTAAATTGTTAATATTGATAATATTTCTTTCTTTTTTTGTTTTTTTTTTGTTTTTTTAGAGACAGAGTCTCATTTTATCACCCTCACAGCAACCTCCAACTCCTGCGCTTAGGCGCTTCTCCTGCCTCAGCCTCCAGAGTAGCTGGAACCACAGGCACCCGCCAGAACACCCGGCTATTTTTTTGTTGCAGTTTGGCTGGGGCTGGGTTCGAATCCACCACCCTCAGTATATGGGGCCAGCACCTTACCCACTGAGCCATAGGTGCCACACAATATTGATAATATTTCTAGATAATGTGTTCTGAGTTAACTTTTACATTCTTCACATTTTCCTGTATTTGATAAAATTTTCTAAAATAAAAAATATTATTTTAATATTCAGAGCTAAACCCCAAAAGAAGAAAAGATAAGGAATAGTATAAGAGATGTTACAAAGCAATTTTTTAAATTCCACAAGTAGTTGTCTGAAAAATAAACATGTCAAAAATTAAAGAGAACACTCAAAGAATAGTCAAGAAAAAACTTTATGGAGGACACCCTTGAAACACAGAGTGGCTACTAAAGAAGAGATCTGGCTCGGCGCCTGTGGCTCAAGCGGCTAAGGCGCCAGCCACATACACCTAAGGTGGCAGGTTCGAATCCCCAGCCCGGGCCCGCCAAACAACAATGATGGCTGCAACCAAAAAATGGCCGGGCGTCGTGGTGGGTGCCTGTAGTCCCAGCTACTTGGGAGGCTGAGGCAGGAGACTCGCTTGAGCCCAGGAGTTGGAGGTTGCTGTGAGCATGATGCCATGGCACTCTACCCAGGGGGATAGCTTGAGGCTCCGTCTCAAAAAAAAAAAAAAAAAAAAGAAGAGATCTATATCCCCAAAATTAATACATTAGAAGAAAGAATGAGACAGAATCTTAAGGTAGAAATTACTTAGAGCCTTCCAAGGCCCTTCATCTCACAGGCACTAAAAAAGTTTCTTGTTCCTAAGAGAAAAATAAATAATGTGAACATTATTTTAGGAAGATTAAGCTGTTTTTAAAGAGGAATACATTAAGAGAGGTGGTAACTGCTTAACAGAGTAGAAGAATAGATCAGGTGGATACAGCAACAATCTGTGTGTGAGAAGATAGGGAACAAAATAAGGTAACTGGACATGGATCAAGTGCCATTAAGATACAAGCTCTGATGATTTGCTACACAAAGTCTAAGAGAAGAGATGCCAATTATAACAGCAAAATTTCAAGTGGGAGTGAAGAGGAGAATAGTTATGCCATTATTTAGACTAGGAAAAATCAAGCCTTGAACTTGTCTATAATGAGACCTATGAAACCCTGAGAAAAGTAATAGCTGAAGATGTTAACAAATGGAAAAACATATCATGCTTGTGACTCTGAAGAATCAACACTGTTATGTCCATACTACCCAAAGCAATCTACAGATTTAACACAATCCCTATCAAAGCACCAATGTCATACTTTAAAGAACTTGAAAAAATTGTACTTCATTTTATATGGAATCAGAAAAAACCTCGAATAGCCAGTACATTACTTAGAAATAAAAACAAATCAGGAGGCATCATGTTACCAGACTTCAGATTATACTATAAATCTACAGTGATCAAAACAGCATAGTTTTGATCTGGCACAAAAATAGAGATGTAGATATATGGAACAGAATAGAGAACCTAGAGATGAACCTAAGCACATATCGTCATTTGATCTTAAGCCTAACAAAAACATACATTGGGGAAAAGATTCCCTATTTAACAAATGGTGCTGGGAGAAACTTGGCTAACCTGTAGAAAACTAAAACCGGACCCTCACCTTTTACCACTAACAAAAATTGATTCTAACTGCATAAAAGATTTAAACTTAAGACATGAAACTATAAAAACACTAGAAGAGGCGTGGCGCCTGTGGCACAAGTGGCTAAGGCATCAGCCACATACACCTGAGCTGGTGGGATCGAATCCAGGCTGGGCCCGCCAAACAACAATGACAGCAGCAGCCAAAAAATAGCTGGGTGTTGTGGCAGGTGCCTGTAGTCCCAGCTATTTGGGAGGTGGAGGCAGGAGAATCACTTGAGCCCAGGAGTTGGAAGTTGCTGTGAGCTGTGATGCCATGGTACTCTACCCAGGGTGACAGCTTGAGGCTCTGTCTCTGGAAGAACAAAAAAACTCAAAAAAACCCAAAAACACTAGAAGAGAGTGCAGGGAAAACACTTAAAGATATTGGCCTGGGAAAATATTTTATGAGGAAGCCCCCCCGCCTCCGCCGCAATTGAAGAAACACCAAAAATATATTACTGGGATCTGATCAAACTAAAAAGCATTTGCACAACTAAGGGCACTGCAAGTAAAGCAGACAGCCCTTCGGAATGGGAGAAGATTTTTGCAGGTTATGATTCTGACAAAGGTCTGATAACTAGAACCTATAGAGAATTCAAATTAATTAATAGGAAAAGAACGAACAACCCCATTTCTTTGTGGTCAAGAGACTTGAACAGAAACCTCTCTGAAGATAACAGGTACATGGCCTACAAACACCTGTTGTGAAAAAATGCTCACCATCTTTAATCATCAGAGAAATGCAAATCAAAACCACTCTGAAATATCAACTAACTCCAGTAAGATGAGCTCTCTTGACAAAATCCCAAAACTGCAGATGCTGGTGTGGATATGGAGAAGGCAACGCTTCTACATTGCTGATGCAATTGCAAACTAATACAGCCTTCTTGGAAAGAAGTATGGAGAATTCTCAAGGAACTAAAAGTTGACTTACTGTTTGATCCTACAATTCCATTACTAGGTATCTACCCAGATGAACAAAAATCATTTTACAACAAAAACATTTGCACCAGAATTTTTGTTGCAGCCAAATTCATAACTGCCAACTCACGGAAGCAGCCCAAATGCCCACTAACCCATGAATGGATTAACAAATTGTGGTATATGTATACCCTGGAATACTATGCATCCATCAAAAAGATGGAGACCTGGTATCCTTTATATTTACCTGGATGGAGCTGAACATATTCTTCTTAGTAAAGTATCTCAAGAATGGGGGAAAAAGTATCCAATGTACTCAATACTATTATGAAACCAATATATAATCACTTACACGTTGCATACGAATGATAAAACACAAATATAGTCCAGAAAGAAGGAAGGGAGAAGGGAGGGGTTGAGGAGGGGAGATGGTGGAGGGCGGGTATTGGTGGGATCTCACCTAATGTGCACAATGCAAAAGGTGTATTTCAAAACAACTAAAAGTATATTATGAATGTCTTACCATAAAAAATAAGTAAATGAGGTGATGGTTATGTTAATCAGTTTAAGCATTCCACATTGTACATTAAATCATCACATTGTACCCCATAAATGTATGCAGTTATTATTTAATAAAAATTAAGTTAAAAATTTTTTTAAAAAAATAATTTTATCATATATAAAATATATAATATGAGTCTGTTAATGTTCCTATGTATGGTGACCTTTGGAAGTTCAAACGATATATCTGTTGGGGGGGGGGCACAGTTCTGCCCTCTCTAGTCCTACTTCTGATATTACTTTCTGGCAGTGGCTAGGACCTCACAGCTCCTTTCTGCTCACTAAGTAGGAAACATTCTTTTTTGCCATAGTCCCAGTAGGAACATTACCCTGGAGGGATGTGAACTACTTTGTCACATCCACATTCGCTTGTGGTCTTTTATCTTTTTATCAAAATACAGGTTCATTAAAGTTCACATTCCTAAATGGAAACGCTGTCATCTGTCCAGGATAGGAAGGCAGAAAATAATTATTTTTCTGTAAGTCAATTCAATGCCTGGTGAAGAAAATCTCTTTATAGCACTACTGAAGTTTTAAAAATATGTTTCAACTTTACAGGATAATTCACTGTAAGTCTGCTGATCTTAATTAGAAACATTTGTATATCTGTCCTTTTCCTAGCTTTATCTATATATGGTTCTATCATAGTTACAATGGGTATGTATGTTTAATTTGGTATTTTTCCTTTTATATAACATGACTTAATAAAATATTTTCTAATTTAAAAAAAAATTCAGATTATAGGGGCACACACATTTTAGTTATAGAATACTTTTGTCATTTTCAGTCAAAGTCGTAAGTATGCTCTTCACCCCAAGTATGTGTATTGCTCCAGTTAGGTGTGAATTTACCCAACTCCTCCTTCCTCCTCCCACCTATTTGATTGCTGTTGAGTTTTACTTCTATATGTGCACATAAGTATTAATCAACTAACTCCAATTTAGTACTGAGTACATGTGGTATTTATTTATTATTGCGATACTTAGAAGAATGGTCTCTAGTTCTACCTAGGTTGTTACAAAAGATACTAGATCACTGTTTTTTAATGAATGAATAGTAATATACCACATTCTATTAATCCACTTATGTGTCAATAGGCACTTGGGTTGTTTCCCATCTTTGCAATTATGAATTGTGCTGCTATAAACATTCAAGTGCAAGCGTCTTTTTTTTTTTAATTAAATGAAAAAGAAATAAAGAAATGTAAATGGTTAAAGACTTGAGGGCAGCACCTGTGGCTCAGTGGATAGGGCGCCAGCCCCATATACTGAGGGTGGCGGGTTCAAATCTGGCCCCAGTCAAACTGTAACAAAAAAATAGCCAGGCATTGTGGTGGGCGCCTGTAGTCGCAGCTACTTGGGAGGCTGAGGCAAGAGAATCACCTAAGCCCAAGAGTTGGAGGTTGCCATGAGCTGTGATGCCATCGCACTTTACCTAGGGCGACAAAGTGAGACTCTGTGTCTACCAAAAAAAAAAAAAAAGCCTTGAACTTGCTTTGTTGGGGGAAGTAGATACGCTGAAAAAAATGTAAGATGTAAAGCAGAAATATAATAGGCTATTAGAGATAGCCTATATTATATTATAGGAATGGAACTTGAGATAGGTCAGAATTAGATGTATAGATGAGGAACTTCATTCCATCAATAAATATTGATAACCTATATATTGTTCCAGGAACTAATAGATTGTAGAGGCACAGAAAGGATCAAAATTGACAAAGTCCACCTGTAGAACCGTACAATCTAATGATTAGACAGTTACAATACAGTGTGATTAGTGCTCTGATGGATGAAATAAAAGATGCAGCACCTAACTTAAGGGTCTGGGGTCAAAAAAGGCTTCTCAGAGAAGTAATTTTATACCAAGACCTAAAGAATGAGAGAACATTAGTGTGACAATGTGGATATATGTGAAGGTGGTGGTCAGAGGAGGAGCGGAGGATTTAGGTATATGTTATATCAGGAGAGGACAAAGTGTTAAATGATCAGAGTGGAGAGTGATCATAGCTAATTAAAGGAACAAACATGTCAAGTGGATAGAGCATGGGAGAGAAATTTTGTTTTTGTAAAGCAAATACACTGATATGGCTTAAAAATTCAGAAGGAATAAAGAACTATACAGTTTATAGCCTCCTTCTTATTCCTATACCCCAGTCATCCTCAGAAACCACCAATGTTATCACTTCCTGGGTAATCTTCCAAAGAAATTTTATGCAAATATAATCAAACTTATATATTCTTTCCCTCTATTTTATCTGAAATGTCTGAACTAAGCACTGCAACAGATGAACAGGGATGGAGGAACAAGACTTAGTGACTGATGACAGAGGTGGAAGAGAGGGAAGGATCAAGCTGGTGTCCAGGTTTATGGCTTGGGCAACTGTTGGTGCCATTTGGAGGTAGGGAATATAAGTTCAGATTATACAAAGGGAAATGAGTTCCCCTGTGTATAGATAAATTCAAAGTAAATAAATTAGAGTTGGAAGATATCTCAGAGAACAAACCCAATCTTAATTTTAATGATCAAAGAAGTGAAGATATTCAGTGTTCTGCTGAAAGTCAAGTTGGTTAAGAGTGAGCTAAGGCTAAAACCTAACTCCAAGTTCTCAATCTATGCACACAAGGGCAATATAGTTGGAAGTTAGAACTAAGATCTATGAATGAGGTTGAAGGTCTGCCTCCTAGAGGATGTCCACAAATGAGAAGGAACAGAAATAGAAAAAGTTTGCTAGGAGAAATAAATAGTCAATGAGGGAGAAGAACCAAAATATTTCAACATCATAAAAGCTTAGGAAGACAAAGATGTCATCAACACATCTGAGACATCAAGAAGAAAAATGGCTAGAACAATGCACTGTGAACGTGCCTTGATATAGAAGTTGAGTGGAGTAGGGAGTGACATGAGGGACTAAGAAGGAAGGATCATCCTCACATTGGAGACTTGCCATATACAAAAGGAAGAAGCTATCAGATGGTGATATTAAGATGATAGAGACAGAGAAAAGATGCTACTAGAGGCTTCTGATGCTCACAAGAACTCTGCCAAATAACAGGGGAACAAATCTGCCTTACCAAAAGAAAAAGTCACTATTACAGGAGAATCCAAAACTACTGCAAGGAATAGGTCAAGTACCGGCAAAAGGCCTATATACCTCTGGCCAAAAGAGCTGTTTGAGAGAGAGCAGTGAAAAGACTTTGTGCAGGCATACTTGTGAGGAACTGAGGCAGAATCCCATATGGCTGGGTTAGTTGAGGGTGTAAAAACCCTCTGACTTAAGGCCCACATGGGAGTGGAGGTTTGCATACAAATTTCTGTATGCCCTGAAAGTTTCTTAATTATGCCTTGTTTTAAAGATCAAAGTAACTGCCTCCAAATGGCCAGGTCAGTAGGACAGATTTTCAAATGGTCTCTTTTCCTCCATAGACTCAGGCTTCATCAGATGAGAATAAAAGAAGTAATGGCTAACAACATGTTCTCCATTAAGTTATATTAAACTGGGTTATGTTGAAAAGGTTATGCTAAAAGATGTATGTTGGGTGGATTATCAGATTATTGGGAGGAGTTACTCACGAGGTAGTCACAAGATGGTCAAATGGATTAATGAAGTCATTGGTGTTCAATGCGCATGTACAGAGGGATTGTAATAAATATTAATGAGGCCATTGATGTATAGTGCGCATGTACAAAATTGACTATATAAACCAACAGTAAATAAAGCTCGCCATTTTGCCTGAGTGAGCAAATGGTCACCTTTATTTAAAATACAATTTCAATAAGCATGCTTAATCTTCAAGACATAGCTTTTCCGTGAGACCCTAATGGCAACAGTCAGTCAAGTCAGAGATAACTGAAGGTACTGAGAATAAATGCCTAAGCCAACATTTTTTTTTTTTTTTGTGAGACAGAGTCTTACTATGTCACCCTCAGTAGAGTGCCGTAGTGTCACAGCTCGCAGCAACCTCAAACTCTTGGGTTTAAGCAATTCTCTTGCCTCAGCCTCCTAAGTAGCTGGGACTTACAGGCACCCACCACTAGTTGTCACTGTTGTTCGGCAGGCCAAGACTGGGTTTGAAGCCCCCCAGCTCTAGTGTATGTGGCTGGTGCCTTGGCCACTGAGCCATAAGCCAACATTTTTAAACAGCAATGAAACAAATTATCAACTTCCTGGAATAATATGGAGCTAAACAACAACTGTCACAGAAACATGATCATGCAGCTAAATGAACTGTCCTCAAGGAAGCAAAAACAGTTACCACTTATTCATACCTGTGTCTGAATATCATCCCCTGTGACAATGTTTCCCACAGCACGCAAAGCAGGAGAAACCACTTTATAATCATTATGCCTGCAACCATAAAAAGAAATGTTAGAGGCAACAATTTTATCCTTAGTCTCTTTTCCTTACAGCCAAAATCCAAAAGAAATGATGGGGTAGAATTTTAGAGTAGTAAAGTACCTATGGTGGTTATTAAGAGAAACCTATCACGACGACACAATATTTGGTATCCCCTAGAATACCCCGTCTTTCCCCTTATTTAGTATTTATGAAAAAAAGAGGGGAAAAAAAGAAACCTACAAATATTTCCTAGTAATCTTTCCCAGTAATTCCATCATTCAGATTCCAATTTTTCCCTCTCATTCTGTAATACAGGTTTCGTTTCCTCTTTACTGGGTCTTCCACAGTTGCTGAGACAACGGAAAGCAAATAGATAACGTTTAAGTAATACTTTTAAGTTCAATAAATAAAACCTTCCACAAAGCCTTTTTTATATATTTCACTACAAATACTAAGTCCTGATTCAGGCTAAATAAATCAACAACCTTAAATTTTCCTTAAAGGTCCTATTCTTTCTCTTCCATTTAGTGAGATCCATCATTCTTCTCAAACATACGCCAGTTCCTTCGCATTTAAGACTTGACGACTAAAAAGAATTGACTGAAATATACAATAGTCTAGTGCAGTGGTTCTCAACCTTCCTAATGCCGTGGCCCTTTAATACAGCTTCTGTGGGTCGTGACCCACAGGTTGTGAACCACTGGTCTAGTGACTAAAGAATGCAAAAGACTACTTCTTTCCTGATGTTGAATGATCTTCTGACTCCTACAGCATCACAACAGCACTACACTACCGACCTACATCCAGTCTCTGGCCATCTATGATGTCAGATATTCAGTAAATTATACCTATCTAATCCATTCCACAAGTCACATTTGGGATAATGTCTTCTAGCATCTAATTTGTACTTCATTTAAATTTCATGTTGCTGGTAACTGGGCTATTGCCCCATTATGATATCATTCTGCTTTTTTCTTCTGTAGAATTAACTTAAATTTTGATTAATAACAGGCTCAATATTTATGCCAAGAGTAAATCTTCCACTCACTCAATCATCAAAGGCATTGCAAAGAGATAAAAGTAAATATTCGATGTCTGACACAATTCAAAGCAAGCTCTAAATGAGGCAGACAGATAAGGAATGACTAGGGACAAAATGCCTTTTTAAGTCCAGTGGTTGATCTCACATCATTCAATGAACCTGGGACTATATACATCAGAATTTTCCAAATGTTTCTGCTGAAAGACTGCTAACAGCAGAAGAAAGGTTCTTTATACTCCTCAAAGAAACAGAACAAAAAGATATGATATCAACATAAATAACAAAAGACAGTACCACAAAGCACAAGTCAATATAATGTACAAGCAACTATTATCTAAGTTTTAGCACCCAGAGAACTAACATGAGAGATAAAAGAGTAGACACGCTTTGTTAAAAATATCTTACATCAGCAGCTCCACAAGTCTCCTACATACTCCTGCATCAATGACAGCTTGAATTTTATCATTGGGTCCATCTGATAGATAGGAGAGGGCCCAGCAGGCATCAGCCAGTACATCAGTGTCACTGACAAACAGCAACCAGGACAGGACATTCAGACAGGGAGAAACCTGTAAAAGAAAGATAGTATTATGAAATTATAATAGAATACAAGTCAAAAGTGGTGAGATACTAAAGAAGGTGCAGGCATATACTTAGTGACTTCTAGGGTGATTTATACTTTTAGAGAAAAAGTACCAAATGACATTTCCATCTTTGGGAACTATTGTCAGTGTTTTAAAAATAATTTAATAAGGTGGTCAGAGTCCAAAAAATATAATTTCAGGAGCGAAGTTTTATATACATCAATTCTTGAAGTGAGAATCCTTGTCACAACACATTCTTTGTAGACCAAAGATGTAAAGGAACTTTCACAAATGCCAAAGCTAGGAAATCTTCTGTATTTTAGATACTTTGTCATGAACAAAAAAATGCTAAGATTTTTAAGATGAATGTGAAGCCTTTACAAGCATTGATAAACGATTCCAAATTACAACAAGAATAACTACAAATAAAGATACAATTCTATCTTTTCTCTAGGAACAGATACAATTCTAACTCTTTACATGTTTTTAAAAATTATCCTCAACATTGGCCACTATACTCTTTTAACTGCACTTCTTTTCTGCCAATTCCCCACAAGCATAGTCCTTACCTTTGCAAATTCTGGAGGTGGACTTTTCCCTCTACAGAGATTAGACAAAGCCCATACTGCATTCCGGGTCATTGTCAGGCGGTTTTGCTTTGAAAATAACCTACAAGGATGATGGTACGAAGGTAAATCACTTAAAAGACATGAATTCTCAATGCAAACTAATACGTCCCTTTTGGAAAACCATATGGAGAACACTCAGAGATCTAAATATAGATCTATCATTTGATCCTGTAATTCCTCTGTTAGGTATATACCAAGAAGATCATAAATCATGCTATAATACAGATATCTGTACCAGAATGTTCATTGCAGCCCAATTCACAATCGCTAGGTCATGGAAGAAGCCCAAGTGCCCATCGACCTATGAATGGATCAATAAATTGTGGTATATGTACACCAAGGAATACTATACAGCCACAAAGAAAGATGGAGACCTTGCCTCCTTCATATTAACATGGATGGAGCTGGAAAATGTCCTCCTTAGCAAAGTGTTTCAAGAATGGAAGAAAAGGTATCCAATGTACTCAACACTATTATGAAACTAATTGTTAGCTATCTTAGGAAAGCTACAATCCAAATGGAACCCTAGACTACGGGGAAAGAAGAGGGGGGAGAGGAGGAGGGAGGGGAGGGGGAGGATGGGTGAAGAGAATGATATTGTGGGGATCATGCCTATAGTTTATTCTATTTGGGTACAGGTGAATTTCTCTAAAGGTTGAATATAAATGTCTTAGCATAACAATTATGAGAAAGATACGATGGCTATGTTGGCCACCTGGATGAGAGTTTTCCAAACTGCATATAGAAGTAACACGCTGTATCCTATGAGAGAATGAATGTACACAATTATGATCTAATAAAAAAAAAATAAAAAAAAAGACACGAATTTTCTGATGGCATAAAATAAATACTAAATAATGCTTTTGATAAACAGATGTCATCAAATAGTTTTTTTAATAAAACTTTATTCTAATATAAATAATTCAGAATTTAGGCACTGAAATAAGATATAATGCTTAAAGAAATGATCTGAAAAATTAAAAAAGTATTTAAAATGAAAAATAACACCAGGAAATTCAAAATGATTTCCATTGAGGCACTGCTTTCTTATGAATCTCCCATGTTTGTATTACTTACTATTTAAAAAACAAACAAACAAAAAGAAGAAACTTACTGTAAAAGAGGGGGGAGGATATTGCAGTCTAAGACATAGTCCCTGCACATGGTACTATCTCCAGCAATGTTGCCAAGAGCCCAGACTGCCTGTGAAGGAATTATTCATTAATGACAGTTACATAGTTTAATTCACTCATAATTCTTTCAGAAAAGATGCTAGCATATCACAATAACATTTTATAAAACAGTAATAATTAACATATTATCTACAAAAAAAGTAATGATTAATACCCTGAATATCACTCATCAAGGAGTCAAATGAAGTAGAAGAAAAATTATAAAGTGTACAATAAGGTGGCACCCGTGTGGCTCAAAAGGTAGGGCGCCAGCCCCATATACCAAGGGTGGCAGGTTCGAACCTGGCCCCGGCCAAACTGCAACAAAAAACAGCCAGGCATTGTGGCAGGCGCCTGTAGTCCCAGCTACGCAGGAGGCTGAGGCAAGAGAAGAGAATTGCCTAAGCCCAGGAGTTGGAGAGTGCTGTGAGCTGTGACGTCATAGCACTGTACTGAGGGCGATAAAGTGAGACTGTCTCCAAAAAAAAAAAAAAAAAAAAGTATACAATAAACAGAAAGAAATGTAAACATTCACAGTGCTAAGTTTATTAATGAGAAGAACCAAATCTTATATTCTTTATCTTAGGGGATGACATCCTCACCACCAAGTAACATTTCACACAGCCGTTGATATACAACAGAGATTCAGATGGCTCACCCATATGATTAAAAATTTATTTTATTGTACCTCATGATTGCATTAATGTACATAATTATGCTGTAAGAAATTTTTAAAAAATTTTATTTTATGCTGGGTGGCGCCTGTGGCTCAAAGGAGTAGGGTGCTGGCCCCATGTACTCCTGGTGGTGGGTTCAAACCCAGCCCTGGCCAAAAACTGCAAAAAAAAAAAAAAAAAAAAAAATTTATGCTTGCTTACAAGAGAAAACAGTGAGCAGAGAATTTAAGAACAATCAAAATGCAGATAACTTTCCTAAACTTTTAAGGGTGAGGGATGTAATTATCTTAATTGTGATGATGGCTTCATGAGTATACAATGTATGTCAAAACTACCAAATTGTGCATTATAAATATACGTAGTTTTATTGTACATCAATTATAGCTCAATAAAATTGTAAAAGAAAATCACACTTTTTTTTTGAGACAGAGCCTCAAGCTGTTACCCTGGGTAGAGTGCCATGGCATCACAGCCCACAGCAACCTCCAATTCCTGGGCTTAAGCGATTCTCTTGCTTCAGCTTCCCACGTAGCTGGGACTACAGGCGCCCACCACAATGCCTGGCTATTTTTTGGTTGTAATTGTCATTGTTGTTTGGCAGGCCAGGGTTGAACTCTGGTGTATGTGGCTGGCACCTTAGCCACCTGAGCTACAGAGGCCGAGCCAGAACATCATACTCTTTGCTCTGCATCCTTGCGCTGGGGAGCGTGGGGGGTGGGTGGGTGGGTGGTTCAAAATCATTTAGCAGTGATTTTCTGATAAAGTTGGTAGTAATAATTCATGTTTTCTGTCCTTTTCTGCATAAAAGTAGCAAGACATGCTACTTCAAATAACATTCAAGATTTCTATTTTTAAAAACCTGTATTAGTAACTGCTTATATGGCCTTTAAAAAGTACACCCATCAGGCTTAATGAATTTCCAGTTCAAAAAGGGAAGACTGTTGTAGGAGAAATTGTGCCTACAGTCCTAAGGGGACTCCAACCTGTGGACCATATGTGGATTATATGAGAACTTCTTGCTTATCTCTGGTGGCAGATCTCACAAAAATATGTGTGGATTTTTTTTTTGCTCATCAGTTTTTTTAAGTGTCTGTGTATTTAATGTGTGGCTCAAGGCAACTGTTCTTCTAATGTGGCACAAAGAAGTCAAAAGGTTGGACACCCCTGAGTAGGACAAACCATGGATTAGTCACAGCCAAGTAGTAAAACATATGTCCTAAAAGTGACTGAGAAAAAAACTTAATTCATTCATCTGCTTTTTTTGTTTGTTTCATTTTTTACCTGTTCCTGGACATCTTCAAACTCTGAGGTGAGCAACTCTATGAAGATGGGCACAGCTCCTGCCTGAATCACAATCCGGGTCTGAAGAGAATTTCCTGAAGCAATATTTGTCAGTACCCAAGCTGATTCAAACTATAAAGATAAAAATAAATTTCATTATCTTGTTGGAATTTAAAAGTTTGGTCACTTATAACAATAATGGCTTCTGAACATAAACAAAAGAGCCTGAGATTATTCTTCAAACATAACCAATTACTTGAATACTATTATTAATCCTAAAAGAAGATTCCCAGAAGAAATACCTCAGCCTAGATGAATATTCAAGGGTGTTTAAAATTTCAGATCAAGACAGAGTTGACATGAGCCCATAAAAATAATGAGGAAATATTTCATACACTGATATGAATGATATGGAATGGAAAAAAAAACAACCCATGAAGTATATACATTTATATGGTATCATGCTCTATTTTTCTAAGAGTTAAAAGGGAACATAATGCATTAATTTACTGATTGTACAGATTATCTCTGGAAGGAGTCCTAAGAAACTGTAAATACTTTTTGCCTATAGGAAGAGGTCTGGGTAACTGGGACACAAGGATGTGAAAAACTTTTCACTGGAAGGCCTATGTACTTCTTTTGGCCTCGTACCACATATGTCATCTAATAAAAAATATAATTTTAAAAAAGTTCAGTTATATGTGTCTTAGAGATCAGTAATAGATCATCAAAAGATATGCTCGTGATTCTTCTAAGCTTCTGATCAATTAAAATGCAGCTGTCACATAGAAAACTAAATCGTCTGGGTGATGCCTGTGGCTCAGTGAGTGGGGTGCCAGCCCCATAAACCAAGGGTGGCGGGTTCAAACTTGGCCCTGGCCAAACTGCAACAAAAAAATAGCCGGGCATTGTGGTGGGCAGCTGTAGTCCCAGCTACTTGGAGACTGAGGCAAGAGAATCACCTAAGCCCAAGAGCTAGAGGTTACTGTGAACTGTGATGCCACATCACTCTACTGAGGGTGACAAAGTGAGACTCTGTCTCTTAAAAAAAAAAAAAAGAAAGAAAGAAAACTGAATCATGAATCGTTGGGGATGGAAGAAAACAGAAGAAATGGACAATGTAATTTAGCACAGTCCAAAGTCATGTGAATGATAGCAAATTCACAGTAGAAAATATTTTTTGTTGTTGCTGTTGCAGTTTGGCCAGGGCTGGGTCAAACCCACCACCCTCAGTATATGGGGCCTACCCACTGAGCCACAGGCGCTGCCCCATTATAGAAATTATTAAAGGATATGTTCAAAGAAAACTATAAAAGTGAGATAAAGTGGTTTGGCAGCCTCACTGGACATTAATATTACAGTGGCAGTGAGGCCCAGACTAAGAGTACCACAGTGAAAGTGAGAATATATTGGCTGAGCGCCTATAGCTCAGCAGCTAGGGTGCTGGCCACATACATGGGGGCTGGTGGGTTCAAACCTAGCCTGGGCCTGCCAAACACCAACTACTACAACAAAAAAATAGCTGAGCATTGTGGCAGGTGCCTATAGTTCTAGCTACTTGGGAGGCTAAGGCAGGAGACTCGCTTAAGCCCAAGAGGCTGCTGTGAGCTGTGACAGCAGAGCACTCTACTGAGGGTGACATAGTGAGACTCTGTCCCAAAAAAAGAAAAAAAGATAGCCAGGTGCTGTGGTGGGCACCTGTAGTCCCACCTACTTGGGAGACTGAGGCAAGAGAATTGCCTAAGCCCAGAAGCTGGAGGTTGCTGGGAGCTGTGACACCACGGCACTCTACCAAGGGCAACAGAGTAAGACTCTGTCTCTAAAAAAAAAAAAAAAAAAAAAAGAGAGAGAGAGAGAGAGAGGGAGAGAGAAAATATATCCCATCTGGTAACTTTTTGTTACAACAATATTCAGGAGACTTGTAGCTCAAAACCTGAATATCATGAAATAAAAACTCTATACATTCATATCTATAATTAAATTACTATGAAAGCAATGCTCAAACTCTTTCAATCTGTCTGAATTAAAACTTTACATTTGTATTGTACTTTGTATTTTCAAAGCATTATTCATATACTCTTAGATCCTCATAACAACCCAGAGAAGTAAGATACCTCTGGCTTTTCTAGTTTGTGAATGAGGAAAACTATCAGGAAAGATCCATCATGATTAGTGACACGAGTAACTTTACATAGCCAGTTAAGAGAAGTACTAGTTTATAGCCTCCTAATCCTATGAAAACCAGGCATAGTTTTTCTCACTGAAAAATACCAGTAACACTGGAATACAATAATTTTGGTAAGTAGGGCAACAAATTTCAAATAATAGTGGGCCTGGGCAGTGCCTGTGGTTCAAAGGAGTAAGGCGCAGGCCCCGTATGCTGGAAGTGGCGGGTTCAAACCCAGCCCCGGGCCAGTAATAATAATAATAATAATAATAGTGGGCCAGATCATTCATACTATCAAATGTAAAACCCAGTTTATCTAAAATACTGTGTCTTTTGCTTACTAGAAAAAAATTAATTAGTAAATCAAAGTCATATATGATATGAGTAAAGAAGCAAACCATCCTATCAAAAGGTAGGCTTAAAGTTCAATAAATAGTCATCAAATACTGCAGAGATCAAGTCAAAGAAATAAAAACTATGAGGAAAAGCTATCTGGGAAGAGTAAGTAAGATCAGCATACATATCTACCTGTATCAAAGAGAAAAAAGATTGTAGTGAGATTTTGATGCATAAGAAATGGTAATTCAAGAGTTATTAGTGAGAAAAAATTACATAGAATACTAATTTGTGACAGCATTCAAAATGCTATTTCGTGAGTTCAACCCCAAAGATCTCATAGAAAAAGTTCCAGAAGCTACTGAAGTAAATAAAATGGAGAGGTAAAACAAATAGAGTGAAAATGAATGATTAAGAAAATGAAAAACAGGTGAAATAACAGCCTGAACATGGATGATAAAAAATCAGAAATTAGTACATCTTAGCGAAAGAATAATTGCCAGAGTTACGCTTATCACTAAAAAGTATGTAAGAAACGGTATCTCCTAAAGTAACAAATGGTGGCCAAAATGACTATAATCTTTCCCTCCTTTTCATTGTTTTAAACTACTCTATTTTTAATATTCCAAGAATGTGAGAAAAGAAACAAGCTATCATGCAGCTACAACTTCTTATAAATTGTAATTCCACTATTATTTTTCACTGTCCAGAACTTACTAAATAAGGCTACAACTAAAATCTGCACACTGAAGGTTTGATGTTTTCTCTCTCCCCTTTCTCAGTCTCTACCTTCAGGCGCTCAGTTCCTTATATAAGGAAATTGAGAATCCAAAGCTGAAGTACTTCTGACCTCCTATCAAGTTTCCCACTCCAGGTTGAGGTACGCCTGGTTCCCTTTCTCCATTTGGATCAGGACTCTGTTGCTGGCCACTTTGCCGGTTCCACTCTGGTTCCTAGCAAATGCCAGGCTCACCTGGAGAGCAAGTGAAAAGAAAGGCTCACATCAGAAAAATAAATCCAGATATCAAACTCTGCAGAGAACAGTGCCTGAGTCATCTGAGCAACCTTTTAGGAAAGGCAGAGAGGTCAATGAAGATGGGAGAAGACATAGGAGAATGAGGCTTACTGCAGTTTATCACATTAAGCTCTTAGAGGGAACAAGACAGGCAGGAGAGGGAAACTAAGCCAATTTAATTCAAATTTACAACTTTTAGAGGAGAACCTGTCCAATGTCTGGAAGTAGGAGGCAGTTTACTTATTTCTAGCTATTTTTATAATTTTTAATAAGAAGAGTTGGGAATGTAATATCTCAGCACACAAAGATGCTGAGCCTGAACTCAAAGATTCATACCAGTATGGACTCACAGAATATACCATAAACCAGATCAGTCTTATGACAAGGGCTCCAGTATATCTGAGACCTAGATGTCATGGAGCTTGAGAATGTTCATACATAAATGACACTGTTTGCTTCTAAATCCTAGATTCCACCCATTCTCACTCACAGTGAGGGCAATTGAGTACCCACACTGGTGGCAGTGCCCAGGCATTTTTGTATCCCTGGTTTGAGGTGACTCACTGATTTGGGAAGCCAGAAAGAAAGTAAAGAGACCCTTCACTAAGATTTAAAGTTCTCTATCTATGGAATGAAGAAATTAAGTTCATTCATAGGATTTATCAGGGAGATTATTTCTCTTATTTATTTCCTTTTCATACCATAAAGTATGACTCAGTTTTTGGAAGAGAAATGGCAAAAGCCTTATTCAAACACACTATTCATACTTCTAGTAAGTAGATTGGGGGGAAGGTATCAGGTCTTAGTGCTTTCCCAGAAGATGAAGGAATATCCTCCAAGCTTTTCAGAGCATGTCTTTCTCACTATCTGCAGACATGGCAGAGCATAAAGTCTCCTGACTTTAAGGTCTCTCTCAATATACTTGCTCCTCCTGCTTCTCAGGTGGACAAAGTTACCCATTAGTCACACTGGAGATGGAACACCATTCTGTGCTTAAGTGTGCACAGGAGAAAGCTGGAGAAGCTGATGCTTAGGTAAGAAACAGGTGGATTATTTCTCAGAGTCTTAAGATAGCTAAGGTGAAAATCAGGAGGTGGTCACTTCCAGAGGAATCATTTTGCTATCTTTCGGTCTAATTATTAGTTTTCACAAGGGTGGAATCTGGGGATTTAGATAAGAGCAAACGGGAGATTTCTGAAGGCTTTCATCTTCGGATATGTTAAAATATAAATTACAGAATTACTGAGTACTAAATAAAGAAAAAAAACTGGAGAATTTACATGCGTTAGCCAGAAGAGGGCACTGTCTTAAAACATTCTGTTCTCTTCAGGGAGTATAGGGGAATGTAAGAGATGCAGAAAGATTCATTTCTCTCTTTTCTCATTTTAAGTCTGAAAGGTTAAACCATCTCTCTTTAATGCATTAGGGAGCTGGGCCCTGCAACCACATATTAAAAACTGTTAGAACAAGGATTCAATTCAATACCTTTCAATTACCCTCACTCCCAATAGGACAACATTTTTTAGCATGAACAAAATGATAATTTTCCCTACCTCCCTCTTCCTACAAAGCATTGCAAATGATAAACTGCAGTAAGGCTTCTCATTTGGTCCCTCTGGCTCTCTTGGCAAGTTGCTTAGGGGCTCAGGTTCTGTTCTCTGCAGTGTTGGTTGTCTGGATTTCCTTTATTCTGAGAAAAGTCTCTCTCTCCCCTGCTCTCAAGGGTGAACATGATTCTTTTCCAGGTGTTTGATATTCCTGGCCTTATATGGGGACCAGAATAACAATCCAGGAGGCAGCTAGCAAAACAGAATCTTAATTCAAATGAACATAGGAATTGGTAAATGTCAAACTGGAGAAGAAAAATTGATGGGACAATGAAGTACTCTACCTTTTCTGGATTTCTTAGTTTCCCTCTGGAAGGAACTCATCACTGCAACAGAGAGTGTAAAAGAAGAAGGGGGAGGAGGAGGGGAAAAGAAGAGAAAATATCAAGACAAATTATCAATCTTTACAAATAATCTACAATGGTTTGGATAGTAATGAACCTGGGGACAGGGACTATCATTTATAAAAAAAGCCCCAGTCCCTACATGGCACCAGCTAACACAAAAGCACACAACTAAGGTGGTGATGTGTGTGTCGAGATCTTTATGATTAACTTGTAATTGTCAAATATTTGGAAAAATAATCACATTTTTTGTGAACTACTTGGCATCAATTATTATAGTTGCAGAATCTTTCTAACGGGTTCAGGCTCTATAGATTAGATCCTGTCAACCAAGGATGACAGTCAGTTGACAGGTGGTACCTGACATTGTGAAAATTAACCAACATAGAGGCTACAGAGTTTCCTCTTGGAATCCCTATATTGTACAGTAATAAAAGCCTAAAAAATTGACAGTAAAAAGTACACAGATTTCTGAAAGGTTATCTCTTTGCCAGTGTTTTTTAGGGTTGGGAGAGGTTTGGGAATTAGTGAGTCTCTGATTTAGCCCACGTTATACCACGCCAAGAAATCCAACAAGTATAATCTAAAACTCCCTCAAAACCAAATTTTATATAGCTCACACATATAGTTCCTATCTTTAGTAGCTCCACTACTACAAACATTTCCCTATGAAACATTGTAAGACATTTGAAATGATTAAAACTAACAAGATTTCTAGAGTATAGGCCTTTGTGTTAAAGCTACAAGCTTGCAATATAGTTGTCAGGAATATCAATATAAACAAATTTAACCTTTTGTATAGGCAAAAATAAGTAACAAATTTGTACAGAAAATTTAAGTTTTCAAAGGAATTTTTATGAGACAAGAAATGAAAATTGTTCCCACCTGCAGTGTACAATTCTCCTTTCGTTTGAGGAATTCCACAAACCTTGCCACTACTCCTGGTGTGCTGATAACTTCATCAATAGGAGGGTTAGGTTCTGTTTCCCCATAAAATAAAAGGGGAAAAAAAAAAAGAATCCTTTGATTTTGATGGAAGAATTTGATACGTCAAAATTACACCATAATATCCCTCCCTCCGTTTACCATCTTCTTTCATGCTGGAAATCTATCCTCCAAGATAGATAGATAATCTATCCTCCAAGATAGATAGATAGATAGATGGATGGATGAACAAATAAGAGTTTAGTCACTTTAAGACTATGGTAGCCTGAAAGTTCTCACAAAGAAAAGAAGATTTAATATAAAAATGAAGGACGGGGAGAATTCTTAAAAATTAAAATTACTGCCGCCACTATTTTAGTAAACCCAGAAATCAGGATAGGAAGGATTGAAAGGCATTTTACTATTAACATTTACTTTCTTCAGGGGCGGCACCTGTGGCTCAGTGGGTAGGGCACTGCCCCATATACCAAGGGTGCTGGCAGGTTTGAAACCGGCCCTGGCCAAACTACAACAAAAAATAGCTAGTGTTGTGGCGGGCCCCTGTGGTCCCAGCTACTAGGGAGTGCTGAGGCAAGAGAATCACTTAAGCCCAGGAGTTGGAGGCTGCTGTGAGCTGTGACACCACAGCACTCTACTGAGGGTGACAAAGTGAAACACTGTCTCTAAAAAAATAAAGAAAGAAAAAAAGTTTACTTTCTTCTATCTCTTTTTCTATACATGGGTTTTCACTTTATCTGTTTTTAATATAAGTTGTCTTGAGAACGTTGTAGGATTCTCAATATACTCATAGAATTTAGTTTTGCACCTACAGTGATTAAGTCAGCAAGAATTCACTAAAATCGATGTGCCAAATTAATCTCATTTTCATTTATAATATCTTATAAATGAAGTCAAGCAGTAAAAACTTACTAAGTGAGTAGAAAAGAAATGTCATGGACAATCAGATCAATAATTTGGGCAAGAGCTATCTCACCAAGGTTTTGACAACTTACATGCACCAATGCCAGAAAAATCTCAATCAGAGCACAGTAATTACAGAAAGAACACATAAAACAGTAAGAGAAAATAGGTAATAATACAAGAAGAATAAACCAAAATTCAGCAAAGGCAATTTTAAAAAAATTATGTAACTTCACAAATAAAACCTAACAATAGTTCGTGAGAAAAAGTACTAGGGAATTTAGTTTGCTGATAATTCGGCAAAATACGGTAGAACCTGTTAAGTTGACCACCCAAGGGACTGTAACTGGTCAATATATGAAAGTGACCAACATGAGGAATGAGGCCCACATGTAGTACACATCCAATCTATGAAAACTATGTCAACATAAGGAGGCAGTTGAGGTAGGGTGATGGTCAACTACAGAGGTTATTACTAAGCCATAACTAAAAAATAACTAATACTATTTTAGACTACATTATTGGAATAGATAAGGAAGGTAATCTCTCACCATACTTTATAGAATTGAGACTTTTTAAAAGAGAAGTAGGAAGGATATGCCTTCCCTTCAAGTATTTAACAAATTGTCAGGCTTTTAAAGACAAATTTGTTTTGTTATAGTAGTAGGTCTGTATGCCACTTAACTTTAAGGGATATATTAATTTTTTTTCCCCCACTAATGACTCTAAACAACCATAACTTACTAGTAGGGGTTTAAGTATTTACTGTCAACATTTTAATATGGTTCAAGGATTCTTTTCACTTGGCCAAGGTGATAGCAAATATATCAAATTCTATTCTATACTAATTATACAAAAAAACATAGTTATCCTGCCCACCAATAAATCCATACTTTCAGGAATAAGCTACTAACATCAAAATCTATAAATACTGGCTCAGTGCCTGTGGCTCAAGTGGCTAAGGCGCCAGCCACATACACCTAAGGAGGCGGGTTGGAATCTAGCCTGGGGCCTGCCAGATAACAATGACGGCTGCAACCAAAAAATAGCTGGGCGTTGTGGTGGGCGCCTGTGGTCCCAGCCGCTTGGAGGCTAAGGCAGGAGACTCGCTTGAGCCCAGAAGCTGGAGGTTGCTGTGAGCTGTGATGCCACAGCACTCTACCCAGGGGGACAGCTTAAGGCTCTGTCTCAAAAAAAAAAAAAAAAAAAATCAATAAATACTGCTCTTCAAGTGATAACTTAAATGTTATTATATAAAAACAGTAAAAGTTCTCAATGTGAATTAACATGAGATGCTGACTGCTATTTTCTATAAGGTCTTTTATAAGATAGCTGAAAAATGAAAGTAATGCTGCTTTCTGGTCCTGGTAAGATTCCACAAATAAATAAGGAAATTTAAAAGTTATACATGATCCATAATTATAATACACATGTCTGTATACTTCTTTTCATTCTCTTACCGATAAACATAGTCCAAAACAAATTATCTGTGCTGTGAAAAATAGATTATGGAAAGTAATATTTTGTAGAGAAATTAAAAAGTATACTCAATATATTCATAGCTTGCCTTTTGAAAGTAGTTTCCTGAATTTTTGTGTTGCTGAAAGCTGTTGCTCAGGACTATTGGAAAATATCATTTCAATCATGTCAGAAGTAATAACACCACCCTGGGATCACAAACAAAAAGCAAATATTAATATAATAAATCACTGACCATTAATCAAAGGTAAACAAAGGTTGCAGATATTATGACCAAGTTGTTAAGTTAATCTTATTTCACTGAAAGTTACACAAAGATAGGACAAACTTTACATATAGATATGTGTAAGATAGTCATATAATGAAGTCAAATTTTCTATCATTAAAAAGCTCACAATTGGGGTGGCGCTTGTGGCTCAAAGGAGTAGGCTCCAGTCCCATATACCGGAGGTGGTGGGTTCAAACCCAGCCCTGGACAAAAACTGCAAAAATTGCAAAAAAAAAAAAAACAAAACCAACTCACAATTTAATGCGAAAGTAATCTTAGTAAATACTAAAATTGGGTTCTTTTTACTCTTCTCCTTCCTCATTTCATTGCTGGCTGTTCCTGGTTATCCAAATTCAGTGTTAAAAAGGCTTTTTATGACCTCCAAATCAAAGGCAGCTACTATATTTTTTTCCTACATCACCCTGCTTCAATCCTGCACCCAGCCCTTATCACATCACCATATATTTTTCTGGGTTACTTGTTTACTGTTTGGGTTCCCCTAGTATATTGTGATCTTGAAAGCCAAAGACTCTATCTTACCACTCTATTACTAATGGCTGGTGTATAGGAGATGCTCAACAAGTATTTATTGAGTAAGTATAGAGTTGTCTTGTATAAATAAAAAATTCTATTGACTATCAAATTCAACATTTTTGACATTTCTATTTCTTGTTTTATTAAAACTTGTTTCCTACTACCACGTACTGCCAATATTAGCAGTTAACTTTCTTCTCAGGATCATTTGCCACAATGTAACAAAGTTCTTATTTCATAAAGGGTTACAAGATGAATTGTGAATAATTATATTTTTTAACATAGTACTGCATATCTATCATTTACTGAATGCAGCTATAAATGCTGGATAACTGGAACTGATAAGCAATACCTAACCCTTAAGAATTGCCATGGGAAGGTCCCTTTTATGATGTGTTATGAATATGCTTACACATATATAACACACATTCACATATATCATCTACATAAAGAAGCAGTATCTTTTTCTTCCCTCTCTTATTCTTTTTAACAAACTGTATTGACTTTACATTATACTATTTTAAGTATTGTTAACTTTACATTGTATGTTTAAGTTACAGGTTATCAAGGAGAGTGAACATCACCCAAATACTGTGTAACTTCTTCTAGGGAAAATGTATAGATGCTCCTCAACTTACAACAGGGTTATGTTATATCTCAATAAACCCATCATAAGTTGAAAATATCTTAACTCAAAAATGCACTTAATACACCCAACCTACTAAACATCATAGCTTCACCTACCTTTTTTTTTCTTTGAGACAGTCTCAAGCTGTTACCCTGGGTAGAGTGCTGTGGTGTCACAGCTCACAGCAACCTCCAACTCCTGAGCTTAAGCAATTC